CGCAGCTCTCCAAGGCCCAGTTATACAATCTCCTCATCCATAGGAGAGGCAACAGGCCAGCTATCGCCTCGAGGACCCCTTGGGTTGATCTCGTCATGGAGGCCGCGACTGCTTCCATCGGGATTAAGGACCCACAAGGGGGACCGTTTCCTTGGACCAAGGACTTTGCCAAGAGCCAGGGGCACACCTGGTGCAAGTACGAGAACCGCTCGGGTCCCTCGTGGGAGTTCTACGACTACAGGGCGGGAAAGGAGGGAAGGATGCCTCTGCCGACCGACCCCAAGACGAAGAATTTGGAAAAGGTCTTGAGCAGCGTGGAGGGATTGCGCAGAACTGAGGTGCACCTTGGGTTGGGGCAGAATGCGCTCACTCTTTAGTGGAGGTTCCCGTGGCAAGTAAATATTGGGTTTAAGAGAACGTTATCGGGTTGCTTTACATAGTCTTTAGGCACAGATTGAAGCACTCGTTCTCTACATCCGTCATGGCATCCACTGCCATCGTCCTCGTGAAGTCATCTCCATGTAATTTTCGCGATGGCTGAAATCTTAGGTGCAAGCCGGGTCGTGGTTGCTGTCTATGCAACAGATGCAGCCGTGAAAGCAGCGACTTCCTCCTTTGGACCAATCGGGTACGTTCCTTACCTGCCCTATTCGGAAAGAAGCTGCTAGCCTGTCCCACATGTTTGAATACATCGCTCTTTCAACCGACACTCGTCTATCAACTTCTCTCCAACGACACTCCATCATTGCCCCCGTTAGCTGGTATTTGTTTCAATCGCCTGCAACTGTTTTTTTACGTCGAGAAAAAGAATACGATCCATCCCACATACACAAAACATCTTTCCTCCCCAGAGCGACATCAGTAGACAAAATGCCCCCTCCACGCCTTCTCAGTACCGAGCTCGTCGAAGTGGCAGGTTCAAATTCGGAGACGGATTGGGATAACATGTCCACCTCAAGCAGTGATTCTTGGCCTGGCATCTCCATGGCTGGGTCTGACAAAATAGATGGCGACGAACCCATTGAGCCCTCCAGTCCGAGGCCGGTGCCTAGGCTACGTGGCATTCTCAAGAGTTCCAGCTCAGGAGACTTACAGAAGGCTCGAACCAATGTCTCTGGCCAACAAACACAGTCTGAAGAAAGAGATCCACTCCGCAGCGGCCCGTTACGAAGGATGAACGCGCTCGAGGAAGAACAAAGTCGTCGGCGGAAGCGTTATCGCCATCGTCCCTATGCAGACAGCAGACGCACGATGTCACACAATCGTGTCGAAGAAGACTTGTCGGATACTGTCGATGAAGATGCGGACGCCGACGGTAGCAGAAACCGGGTCCATGTTACGAAGAAGCCCTGTCATGACCACCAACATCACCACAGCCATAACAATCTCGCCGCCCCCAACACGACTGGTCTCCAAACCCCGGCTGACGCCATCTCCAATGTTGGACAGCAAGTGGGCAGCCCGCGAACTCAGCTTTATGGAAACCTTCCTTCTCTCCAACTTGACCCCAGGGGTCCTGTTGAGACTCATAACGCTTCGCATTCCCACGCACCAGCCGGCGGTCTCAATATGTACGGCGTACATCAGCACAGAAATTACTTTCCAACGACGAATCAGTACGCTGGAGGCTTTCATGGTCAGGCCCGGTACCCTTATTCGCATCGAATGCGCCTTGGTTATCCCATACCGCAGCAAGACCGGACACAACAATCCGAAGCAAGTTGGCTCGCTGGCCTCTATAACAGTCGAGACCGACTCAGGGACGAGTTCTTTCGGTTGAGATCAAGACCCCGTGACGCCAGGGACGAGAGCTTTTTGGCCATCGTGACGGCCCAGATGTATGTGGTATCGCTTCTCCTGACACACAGCCTGCGATACTGTACGTGAGAAGTCGGCATCCTACGCGGGTACATTGGAAGGGGGGACTGATGTGTAAGCACAGTGGTTGGCGCGCGAGCTTGCGTTGGCTGGTATTGAGTATGTTTATGATCGTGCCTTGGGGGTGAAGATTGGCTGGTTTCTCGGGGGTACAGAAGTAACGAGCATGCAATACATGATATACGACGAATGTGCTCACTTCAGTGACTTCGATGGTTCCAAGTCACAATATGTCTTCCTTGTGATTCTGACCATGCTTGAATTTACCAGTGCCTCCCTTATAACCGCATGCCCGATGCCTCAGCACTCGAGGAGATCCAAGTACCTGTTTAGAAGGCCTGGACTTGAGACCAGTGGTGGGCTCATCCGATGGTAATTGTACCGAGACACGGGCAGATATTCCTTAATAACCATTGCCATTTCCTAACCGCCCGGATAGCTTTCGAAGTTCCCGAGACAGACGTCACCGGTGGCAGTGTTTGCTCAGTAAGGAGAGGAAGGAAGGAAAGACTCGATTCGAAATGGACTCATGTCCTATTATTACATTTATGATGACTTCTAAAAGCTGCTCGTCCAAATATCCAATGTGTCCACCTGAGAGGGGACGTCTCTAGGCTGGATCCTGCCTCTGTAAGACAGTGCTTGCCCCATGGATGCGGTTGGCCCTTCTTGAAAAGTTGGACAGTGGGGAAGGAAGGAGGTGTCTGGGGACGAAGGTGCAGTAAGGAGTGCAAAGAAGGAGCTCATTCAAGGGGCTGCTTTCTTTCCTACTTGAACGATGTCCCTCTTCTTCTCACAACATCACATCTCTCTAGTTTTTCTACACTTGCTTTTCTTATCTTTCTCCCATATTGCACGTGTATTCTCTACTGCGAGTTTCACTACCACTTCCCATAAACAACTCCCACGACGACTACCAAGATGCCTCCCAAGAACATGAAAAAGGCTGCGGCTTCGAAGAAGACCTCAGCGGCGACATCAGCTGTCACGGCAACGGAAGGTCAAAAGACCAAGAGGAAGAACGCGGACACACCCGGTTCTGTTCAAAAGAAGCAGAAGATGACGAATGCTGTGAAGGTCGACGCAGATTCCGAAGAGGGCGAGGCAGATGCTGGAAGAGAGAAACCAACCGGGGATGATGGCGATGGCGGCGTCAGGTGTCTGGTGCGCCCTGACAAGGCGTGGGCGCTTGTTGAGAGGTCTCACGTCGATAAGCAGCCAGCTGCGTCGCACAAGATGTTCTTTTTGACGAATGCTTCCGTGTCTCAGCTTGAAGAAGACGAGATCGACAACATAATTCCTCCCAAAACACTGCCAGAGTCGTTATTCCCCCCGAACTGGACCCAGCAGGACGAGCAAGACTTGCAGAGGGCGTGGGATGAGGATCCTGAACGGCCCGTTTGGATGGACATTCCAGACAAAGGGAGATTCACTAAACTCTGGAAAGTGTTTCTGCGCCTCTTTCGTAAGAGCCCTGCCGATGTCATCTCGGCCAAGTACGCGTTGCAATTTGATCCGGACAAGAAGCGTCCCAGGATGGGATGGAACAGCAAGAATGAACTGGTGGTCTCGCCGGCGTGGACTGCGCTCTTTATGAAGAGACTGATGAACTTGGCGTTCCACCCGCTGTGGCAGGGCAAGGTCGAATGCCTTATCGTCGCCATCCAGTACGCAGTAATCGTGCGCACCAACGACTGCCGGACATGGAAGCTCCTCAACCCGACTGGTGATGAGTTCTTCAACACCATGATTCGAGTTCTCAAAAAGCCCGACTGTCAGGGCATGGAGGTGTCCAAGCTTCACAAGATGGCCCGCGATGACATGCATGGTCGTGACGTCCCATGTGGCTGGTTCTCTATGTTCATGGAGAAGCTAGAGGGCAAGTATCCAAAACCACCACCGAGGCAGACAGAGGACAACGGCCCCTACAAGGTCTCGACGGCTGACCTTGGGGAAATTCTGGAGGCGCTGACGGACATGGATCATCTAGGACTGCCGCTCTTCAGGTACACGGGCGAGGGCTACAGTATGGAAGCGGCCAACCTCAACATGAAGGAGGACTTGCCAGCGAATGACGACATGTTGGATTATTACGAGCGCGGATTACTCGAAGAGCGCCGCTGGGTTGCCTTGCAGAAGAAGCTCGCGGACCGAGGAAGGCCCGTCGAGTCTTTCACGGGGCTTACGGTCAGTGCCGAGGCGACCGGCTCAGGCTCCACTCAGACCGATATCGACCAGCTGAATGAGAGGATTCGGGAGTTGGAAGACGATGTTTTCGAGTGGCAAAGGAAATATAAGAGGCTGCAGGGGCATAACCCGGTCCCGTCTTCGGATGCGATAGAGGACCCGAACGACAGCTACGTATAAGAGGGCGGCGGCGGCGACCGCCCACCTTCCTTTGTTCAGACTTACGCCCTCTTGACTGCCAGATATGGCACGGGGCTGACCATAACTACTACTCGGGAAGCCAATATGCTTTTGTAACAATACACTTTCTCTGCAATTCAACCATCTGTGTGGTGCGTAACCCTTGAAAGTTGACCCTTGATTGTAACTAACCAAAGTAATCCTCTTACTGGGGAATCCCGACCGTGTCCTCTTGGAAGTTGGCTAGTGGGGAAAGAGGTGGTTTGAAGAGGGTATGATGAGTTGTGTAAGGAGAAGGAACGAAGTTGAAGGCTCCTTCCCTTTCCCAGATGGCAACGTTCCACCTCCGTCTTTCCTCAACTTTTCTCCGCCTTCCCGCACCTGCGTTTATCATCACCCCTGCATTTTCTTCTGTAATTTTCACAACCACGACCACGACCACCGCCCCCACCGAGACCAAGATGCCGGAGCGCGATTTAGTGGAAGGAACGCCGGCTTCACGGCCTCAGGCTGCGACTGCGGCTTTGGTATTTACCGCAACTGCGGTAGGAGCAGACAGAGCAGAAATGGACGGTCGACGGACTGTTGGAAGGAAGAGAGAGGGCAGCGGATCGCCATCATCAATGAGAACTGCTAAACAGCAGAAGACGAGCGCAGGGGATGGGACCTCCGCATTTCAGGCAGGTGCAGTCAGTGGTGCAGATGGTGCCCAGGACTCTGGGTTATCCTCGTATGAGAGAGTCTCTGCAGTTGCCATGGCTCCTGTGAGCGGAGATCAGGAGCGATCCTCGACGGAGGTGAGGGTGCCTGGAGACACTCAGGCCGAAGGCAGTCACGGGACAGAGATCGAGGTCTCTAGAATCCTCAAGAGGTTTGAAGACGCGCTGAAGAAGGCACAGGAGACGCCGGAGAAGGTCATGAACCTCCAGAAGAAGCTGGACTTGGCCGAGCACGATGCCAAGACTGCCGGCATTCGAGCCGACGAGGCGGCCAAGCGCGAGACTCGGAATCGGGCGGAACACGCCAAGCTCCTACAGGAGTCGGACGAGCAGAACAAGAAGCTGTCCAAGGAACACGAGAAGCTCCAGGCAGAGTACAAGGAAATGAGTGAGAGCAAGCACAAGCTGTTTGTAGAGAACATGACCCGCAGGATCACCAATGAGTCATTCGCCGACGCCATGAAAGAGTTCTCTATTGTTGAGGAGAAATTGAAGCAGGCGACGAAGGAGAAAACTGATCTCGCCGAGAAGTTGCGCCAAGCCGAGACGGCGCGTGGAGAGGCCGACAACGAACTGGGCCGTCTGAAAGAGACGCTGACCTCGATAGAGGCTTAGCGAGATTCGGCAAAGGCCGAGTTGGACAAGGTGAGAGAAAAGCTGACATCGATGGAGGCTGCGCGGGACTCGGTAACGACCGAGCTAGAGGGGTTGAGATCAACAGTAGCCTCAGTAGAGGTTATGCGAAATTCAGCAATAGCTGAGGTGGACCAGCGCAGGGAGGAGCTGTCTAGTTCGCAGAAAGATGTGAGCAAAGAAAGGCTCGAAGTGCAGGGCCTCACCACTGTGCTGAATGGTCTCAAGACGGCTGTCGAGGCGATAAAAGCACGGCCAAATGGCACTGGAAGCGCGGAGTCTGACTGGCAAAAGGCCGTGGAACTGCTGGCATCACGACTGAACGCGTTCAATATCTTCGACGACGGTCGCTATCTCACACATTCTTCAGTCATCCACGAAGTTGGAATGGCAATCGTGCGGGACGCGGAATTCGATAAGCTAAGGAGGTTCGTCGCGACTATGGAGGTCAACGCGACCTATTGTTTTTGGCAGGTGGTAGAGGCTGAGGAGGGAGACGAGATCATCAGACTGGAAAACTCCAAGGCAACGTGCCCCTTGCACACGATGGAGGAACGCCTCAGCAAGAGTGACAAATGTCTCAGATTCAAATGTATAGTTCGCAATGGCGACAGACAGCTCATCGTGGGAAGAAAGACGAAGCGGACCACAGCTGTGTAGGTGGCATTGATGTTACAATAGATAGATATTCACGAGGGAAGGGTCCAGTTTGCATTGATCATCAAGAGTCTAAGAATTTCATGTTGCTTGTTAAGTAAATCACGAACGCCACTCAGTCTACGAGGAATTCCCCGTGTTACCAACGCTATCCTCCACGTCTTCTCACTCAATTGGGGTTTCAAGTCCGTTCGTCAATGTCTATGGTCGAAGCATGCCCGCTTCCCTGACGCTCTCGCAAATCCGCTAGTAAATCAATATCTTCATCTCCCTCAGCCTCAGACCCCATGATTTCAAATACTTTCAAGACAGATTAGGTGCTCCCTCCCTCCCAAGCCTTCCTCCATCATCCCTCCTTCCACTGCCCGGTGAAATATGTTCAGCGTTCATAGTTGGTTTCCACTTACATAATGAAGACACACCATGTATCACAGTGAAAGTTTTATACAAATGATGAAAAGTTGGTTCTGCTCTGTTGGGCCACAATATTGTCATTTATATCCCCTTGGATGTGGGCATTCTGGCATATGCCGGAGGCGGGCCACGCCTGAAAAAGGGGGCCATTGGAGCGCCGGCTTACTTCATCTGAAAGCCGCAAACTGGTAATACCAGAGGAATAATAGCAACAGCAATATTTGGAGACTCTGTGAAAATTCAGGAGAGGAAGTAGGGGTAGCATGGAGGGCTCCTGCCTTGAGAGAGTCAGGACTTTCACCGCGGGACCCACCGGCCGAGGAGAACTGTGGATCCCATTGTTTACCTACCTCGTCGATTGATTGATGCCTGTTGCTGCCTTGCTTTTCTTTAGTCCAGTTAGAAAGTCTCTCGGCTGCGAAATCTTTTCCTCTTCAACTTTCCCAACACCAACGGACAGTATCAGGACACTGATAGCAGGCAGCAGTACGACTTGGACATGGTTTCCCGGCATCGTGTCGACCGCGACGAGCTTGCCGCCCATATCGAAGCGAACAACCGAGCGGCAAACCTGCTTCGGGCCAGCTTCAATGACCCGAGCATACGCACATTCAGCAGTGGGTTCACGGGTGGGCCGTCCGCGCCTCCGCAGACTCCGCAGCCGCGGTGGCTCGACAACATGTGCTTTACCCGCTTTAGTGCCCAGAGCGACCCGCCGCCGCCGCAGCAGCAGCAGCAGACGACGGGATATCACGCAGCCGCCCGCAGAGAGAGTGTGTCGGCTCCTCGGCATGACTTCCACGACCGGGACTGCGGTGACCGGCCGCGCCGTGATGCGCTCCCTGACGTGTGATATGGTGACTTTTGGCATGACCCAAGCAGCGCACATCGATACAGTGGGTTTTTGGAGACGGCGATGGAAGCTGACGGTCAACGGACTATCAGTGGAAAGAGAAAGATGACGGGGACCCCCGTTGCTGCTAACAAGAAGCAGAAGATGAGTACAGAGAATGGAACTTCCGCGTTTCAGGCAGCCCTGGTGAGTGAAGGAGCCGATGGGGCCCTGGACTCTGAGTCCACCGCGGATGGCGCGGTGGGAACTGGTGGTGTTGCCCAGGACGCTGGGTTAGACGAGGAGGATGTGCAGACGCCGGCTGAGCCGACGCCGACTTGGGGCTCGTCCAAGACGTTCTTGGAAGCTACTGTCGACGAGGCCATGGATCAGGGCAAGTAAATGGCGACACTCGAAAGCATCTGGCCCAAGACTAGCGACTGGGCTGCGGATGGCGACGAGATGGAGGCATACGCCGAGGCCGTCTGTCAGCTTGCCGTCTCGAAGTGGGCAAAGTTGACCGTCATGAAGGTCAAGCTTAAGCTCGACGCGAATCGCAGGGCAACGTACAAGGAGATGTCCAAAAAGGACGAGAAGCAGTTTTCGTGTGCGTATACCGACTGGTGGACCACGCTTCGCCTGCACAAGAGACTCGGTAAGGCTCCTGTCTCGCATGAATGATTGATGGCTAACTATCTCAACTACAGTCACAGAGTCGGAGTTCCAGGCTCTCCGCGACAGCGGCTTCATCAAGACGCTCAAAAAGGAGGAGAAGGGCATGCCGCCCCTTGACGAGCGCTTCCGCGACCATCTGCAGAAGAACGTGAGAGCAGCTGGGGAGGCGATGGGTCCCCTGCAGAACGTGGCGATGGGCCCTCTGCAGAACATGAAGACAGCCGGTGCGGTGCAGCCTGCGCCGCCCGCGCCCAAGCCTGTTCAGGACGCGCGCGTTGAGGACCAGCGCCGCAGGCTGTCGGAGCTGGCACTCCATTGCCTGCGGGATCACGTCATGCCTGGCGACATGACGAGTTACATGACGGATCTGGCAGACCACGCGGCGAGCCTTCTCAACCTCAGGAACAAGGATGACATGCGACTCTCGGACAGCGACGTCGACGCGGTCATTTCCGACCAGTGGCGTGTGTACAACGGCGACGGCAAGGTCGTAGAGAACGCCAAGGCTGCTTCGAGCTGGCACTGGAGTCGCAAGCAGGAGAAGCAGACACAGCAGAAGCAGCAGACGCAACAGCAGCAGCAGACGCCGAATGTTGTGCATACGTCTTGGCTGCCCCCTGAGTTGGCGGCTCCGACTGTCGCGTCGGCCTTCTCGCTGCCTTCGCTGCCGTCGAGGACTATGCCACCCCACGGCTTCCCTCACAGCCGCCGTTGAGATGGCAACTGGATGAGTAGGGTGTCTGGGAGACTTCTCAGACTAGCAGATTGGCAGGAATTGTTCGAGACTTCTCGAATTAGGTGGTCAGCAGCAGGTGTTATAAACAGCAGTCAGTAGTCAATAGAAACAAGGTTCTGGTGTGAAATTGCATGTGCCTGTTCTATTGCGATGTAAATTGGTCCATTCATTAATTGTGATAAGTGTAGTTAATGGCGCTCATCCTCTAGACATGTTGCCAAACGGTTGAATATAGATGTCGCTTACAATCATGTGCATTTGGGCCAGTGTGGGGTTTGCGTGTGCTTGATTTTGCTGGCCGGACAGTGTTCACACACATGCATGTAATCCATATATCGTCGTCTTTATCAATACTACTATTCGTATGCTATGGTCATCACCTCTATTATTGGCATCTCTTGTCGTCTTCTCTATTGTCGTCTTCTCTATTGTCGTCTTCTCTATTGTCGTCTTCTCTATTGTCGTCTTCTCTATTGTCGTCTTCTCTATTGTCGTCTTCTCTATTGTCGTCTTCTCTATTGTCGTCTTCTCTATTGTCGTCTTCTCTATTGTCGTCTTTATCGCACCCCCTGTCGTTTTCTCTACTACCCTCGTTCTTATGAGGGTATTTGATTACTTGATTGAAGTTATAGGACACAGTGTACGGCTAAAGAATTCTTTGTAAGACACCAAGGTAGCAAAGGACACCTTCCTGCTTCACAAGAAACCTGAATCTTGTACAGTGACATGCGAATGTTCTTGCACTGTGCCTCGTCTGGAATGACTAGAATTCCAGTCGACAAGCTGCGCGCGAATAAAGCTGCCGCAGATGATGAGAAAAGGATGTAAGCCATGTCCCATATTCATTCTTAGATTTATTAGCAAAAATTGAATACACACCGTGTTTCAAGCAAGATAGCCTCGAGTCGATGAGATGCAGTCGGAGAAGGTTCAACCCCTGGTCCGAAGGACCCATAATTCAATACCAAGGGCCAATCGCGTGTAATGCTTTCTGCTTTCTAGCGGACGCATCCCGCTGAGCGCAGCACTCAAACTTAACATCAACCACACCAGACCTCAACACAGAGAACCACGTCAACTTACGGGTTTGACCATTCGTAACACCAACTGCTCTTCTCGCACCATATACCAACCGCTCGCAGGACACTTTCGAGGCAGTCGTTGTATGATAGTCTTCATGGCAAGCTGGGCCTTAGTCGTTCTAAGATTTCTCTCGTCAGGAGCAATCGATTTCGTCTCTTCGAATACCAGCATTTCAATTAGCTCTTTCCTGGCAGGTAAGAATCGAGAAGCTGTAACACCCCGCATAACATTCCGTCGCTAACAGACATATCTAAGGTCAATCGCTCTACTTTTGCCGCCTGCCGCGTACGCCCAACCACTCAATATTCAACAATGCCATGTCTACCCCTCACCAATCCGGCGCACTCCCACACCCCCCACCGACAGCGAGCTGCGCTGCCTTGTGCATCTTCAACGTCCCCAGTGGCCTCACGCCAGGCTTCTTCCCACGGTGGCCCTTGAAGTTGATCTTCTTATCCAACTGCTCAAAGGGACTGCTCCCCGCCTCGCCCTTCTTCACCATCCACTTTGCGGTCCCAAGCGCGGCGTCAAGCTCCTCGACGGGCGGCAGCTTCAAGTATATCATGCCGTCCGGACGCTCTTCCACCGGGAACGTCGCGATGCTGAGCTCTGCATCCGTCTTGCAGTCGCCGTTGGCCAGGTCAAAGTTGCGCTTGTGGTACGGACACGACACCCACGGCGCGGACCGCTTGGCGTCGCCGTTGGTGCTGCATCCCGAGTCGGGCTTCTTCGCGTCGCTGCACGTGTCGGTCCCGAGGTCCTCGCCGATGAGGCCGTCCGAAAGCACAAAGGCGCGCTTGTGCGGGCACATTTGCTGTGTGGCGTAGTACCTGCCGCGGATTCGCCAGATGGCCAGCTGCGTGTCTCCTCGCTTGACAGTCGCGGAGATGCCGTTGGGCGTCTCGTCAGCGCCAAAGAAGTGGCTCGCTGGAAGCATCGGCTGCCACGCCATGCTGCTCCACCTGCTGATGAGGCCCTTAAAGTCTTCCTTGGCCGAGTCCTTGGCCCAGTACACCGGGCGCGGCTGGTCGCGGTCGAGCTCGACCTCCATGTTCTCGAGCGTCTCCTCGGTGTTGTTGAATTGCTTGAACTTGGCGGCGATATGAGGGTTCTTGATCGCTTCGGCCCACTCATCGAAGAAGCTGTCGACGAGCTCATGCATTTGAGCTTCGAGAGAGGCGCAGATGCCCAGCTTGTCCTCAAGGACAACCTCCTGCAGGTACTTGATGCCGCCCGGGAGGTTCTCCAACCAGCGGGCGGTTCTCTGGAGTTTGTCGCCGGTGCGGATATAAAACATGAGGTATCTGTCGATGATGGGGATGACCTCGGATGGGGGGACGTCTTTGGCGAGCAGCTCCGAGTGCTTTGGCTTGGCACCACCGTTGCCGGCGACAAAGATGTTGAAGCCCTTTTCGGTGGCAATGAGACCAAAGTCCTTGTTCTGGGCTTCGGCACACTCGCGGACGCAGCCGCTGACGCCGCCCTTGATCTTGTGCGGCGCGCGGATGCTCTTGTACCGCTCCTCCAACCGGACGGCCATGCCAACACTGTCACCAATGCCGTATCGGCACCAAGTCGTCCCTACACAGCTCTTGACGGTCCTCAGTGACTTGGCGTACGCGTGGCCCGACTCCATGCCGGCCTCGACGAGCGTCTTCCAGATATCCAAGAGGTCCTGCTTCTTTGCGCCAAACATGTCGATGCGCTGCCCGCCGGTGATCTTGGTGTACAGGTTGTATTTGCTGGCCACCTCGCCGATGACGATGAGCTTGTCGGGGGTGATCTCGCCGGCGGACACACGCGGGACGACGCTGTACGTGCCGTTGCGCTGGATGTTGCCGAGGAAGCGGTCGTTGGTCTCTTGCAGGCCGTGCATCGGTGTGTCCATGACGTGGCGGTTCCACAGCGAGGAGAAGATGCTGCCGCAGGTGGGCTTGCAGACTTCGCAGCCCATGGACGCAGGGTCGTTGCCGGCCTCTCTCATGACATCTTCAAACGTCTTGAGCTTCTTGACGAGGATGATATTGTAGAGGTCGGCGCGGGAGTAGTTGAAGTGGGCACAGAGATGGTTCTTGACCTCGTTGCCCATGGACAGCATCGTCTTGTTGAAGATGGTGGTGACCAGCGGCATGCAGCCACCGCAGCCCGTGCCGGCTTTTGTGCAGGTCTTGACGTCGCCGAGGGTCTTGCAGGTGCCGTCTTTTACCGAATTGACGACGTCTCCTTTCGTCACGTTGTGGCACGAGCAGATCTGGGTGTCGTCTGTTAGGTCGTCCCCGTCGTCTTCGCCCTCCTTCTTGGCGCCCAGGATCAGCTGGCTGGGCGGCATGTCGAGCTCCTTCATGTTCTTGACTAACGGCACGAGCTTGATGTAGTCTTTTGTGTCGCCAATCATGATACCGCCGAGCAGGTATTTGCCATCTTCCGTAAAGATGTACTTCTTGTACACATTCTGGAACGGGTCACGGTATGTCAACGCCTTGACCGGGGCCGGTGGGAGGCCGTTGGTTAACGTCTCGATAGTGCTCTGCTCGTCTTTCTTCGCCCTTCTTGCCGCTTTTGGAGGCAGCGACTTCGGCCCTTGTGTGTCGGCAAAGTAGTCGCCAAAGCTCGCCACGTCGACACCGAGCAGCTTGAGTTTTGTGCTGAGGTCTGGCCTCTTGAATATCCGCGGCTGGTGCAGCTTGGCTTGTGTGAGGTTGAAGGAGAGGACGTCGGCCATCTCGACGCCGGGGCCAATCAAGCCGAACGCCATGCCCTTCCAGCTGGCGCACTCGCCGATGGCGTAGATGTCGGGAATGCTGGTGCTCATATCGTCGTTGACAATGATGCCGCCGCCGCGATCGGCACACTTGATACCCGCCTTGCGTGCGAGTTCATCCCGTGGCCGTACACCAATAGCGAAGCAAATGGCCGAACAGTCGAGGCGCTCGCCATCCTCGAAGCGCACGCCCTTGACGTGGTTGTCTTCGGTGGTCTCAATCTCTCCAACGCGTTTGCTGAGCATGATGTCGAGGCCGAGGCTCCGCACTTGGTCCACCACCATAGCGCCGGCATCTTCATCAATCTGGCGACTCAGAACCCAGCGATTCCTTTCGATGATCTTGACTTGGTTGAAGCATTCAAGATCGACCATGGCCTTGGCAGCCTCCAGACCGAGCAGACCACCGCCGACGACTGCTCCGTCGGTGCCTTTTCTTGTGCCGGCAAAGGCGATGAGCTTGTTGAGGTCGTCGATTGTGCGGTAGACGAAAACACCCGTTGCGTCATGGCCGGGAGTGTGTTTTGGAAGAACGGCGTCTGAGCCGGTTGCCAGGACCAGGACGTCATAAGGGACGACTTCACCGTTGGAGCAAAGTATCGTCTTTGCTTGGGAGTCAATATCCATTACTTTGGTGTTGATGTGGTATCCCAGGGAGCCTTTGGGAGCGCCGCGATACTACAAACGTCAGCGCGAGCCACGAATGCAGCAACAACCACGTACCCATTCTTCCGGATTGAGGTAGAGGTTCTCAATCTTGCGGTGGTCAAAGAAGCTCGTCAACCCCACGCGGTTGTAAGCCAGGTAGGGCTCCTCCCCGATGATTGTGATGCTATGCTCATTTGTCCGCGCATCCAGCTTCAGCATCTTTTCTCTGCGAAACGTCAGCCAGGGCCGCCACCATCACGCGCATACTCACATGAAGGCCATGCCGACCATGCCCAGGCCGACGACTACGAGCCTCTTTCGTTCCGCCATCGTGAGATGCCAAACGCTACTGAGACACGAACAGAGTTGGGGGTACGAAGAGCAAACGGAGCGAAATGGGACAGGAACACAAGCGACTACACCCCAGGACCGTATTATAAACAGCGCATCATCTTGTCGCCTCACAATGAAGTCAGTTGGCACGATC